GATGAAGAGAGGAGGAGGGGAGGAGAGGAGGAGAGGAGGAGAGGAGGAGAAGACAAAGAGGTGGAGACGAGGAGACAAGGACGAGAGGAGGAGGGGGGAAGGAGGAGGGGAGGAGGAAGAGGAGAGGAGGCGGGGAGGAAGAGAGGAGGAGGAGAGGAGGAGGAGACAAAGAGGTGGAGACGAGGACGAGAGGAGGAGGGGAGGAGAAGGAGGAGAGGAGGAGAGGAGGGGAGGAAGAGAGGAGGAGGAGGAGAGGGGAAGGAGGAGGGGAGGAGGACGAGGGGAGGAGGAGAGGGGAAGGAGGAGGGGAGGAGGAGGAGGAGAGGGGAAGGAGGAGGGGAGGAGGAGGAGAGGAGGGGAGGAAGAGAGGAGGAGGAGTCGTCACATTAGTTGAGAATACAAAGTACAGTCAGTGATGAAGAAAAAAGTTTATTCTAAAACGTGTCTACAGACAGAGAGACAGGAAGTGATGTCAACGTACTGAACATGTGACCTCATAAAACTATGTAAACATGTAAACACAAACATGTAAACACACACAGGCATGTTTTTCTTCCTTTGTTGCTTAAAGAATTGTTCTGTTTTGTGTTTTAGATTGTCTGTTTGTTGTTTTGTTTGTTTGTTTGTTGTAACTCTGCTGACAAGACAAACAGCGAGGACTCACCACGATGTCGTCCCATGATCCTTTGTAAAAGATGGGACTGTTGACGTTCCAGTAGGCGCAGAGACACTCCAGACGGCCCAGCTGACACAAACAAACAAGTCAAAACAACAGTAAACAACAGACACAGACACCGACTGCGTCTACTGTCTCACCAACCAATCAGATTACAGAACACTCAGGAGAACACGGAGGAGAACACGGAGGAGAACACTCAGGAGAACACGGAGGAGAACACTCAGGAGAATACTCAGGAGAACACACAGGAGAACACTCAGGAGAATACACAGGAGAACACTCAGGAGAACACAGAGGAGAACACTCAGGAGAACATGGAGGAGAACACACAGGAGAACACTCAGGAGAACACACAGGAGAACACACAGGAGAACACACAAGAGAACACTCAGGAGAACACTCAGAAGAGCAGTCAGGAGAACACACAGGAGAACACCCAGGAAAACACACAGGAGAACACTCAGGAGAACACAAAGGAGAACACAGGAGAACACACCGGAGAACACACAGGAGAGCATGGGAGAACACTCAGGAGAACATACAGGAGAGCACAAGAGAACACAGGAGAACACACAGGAGAACATACAGGAGAGCACAGTAGAACACTCAGGAGAGCACTCAGGAGAACACAGAGGAGAACACTCAAGAGAACACACAGGAGAACACACAGGAGAACATACAGGAGAGCACAGTAGAACACTCAGGAGAGCACTCAGGAGAACACAGAGGAGAACACTCAGGAGAACACACAGGAGAACACTCAGGAGAACACTCAGGGGAACACACAGGAGAACACTCAAGACAACACTCAGAAGAGCACTCAGGAGAACACGGGAGAACACTCAGGAGAACACACAGGAGAAGACAGGAGAACACAC